TTTTTTGACTTATGGAAAAGTAAAGTGAAAGTGGAAAAAATATTTTATTTCCAATTTTCACTCTTCCGAAATAGTAATGAGGGGGCGAACATAGTGTTTCGCCCCTTTTGAAATTTCAAAGTGCTAAAAAATAATAGAAATTGGTAACTAAAAAAAATTTCATCTTTGAATCTATTTTCCAAGTAGAAAACTTTATTTTCTTCTGAAATAAAAGTGAGGGGGGGGGGAAATTTGCTTCTCATCTTCAGAAATTTAGACATTAATAGAATAAAATCAAGTAAAGTAGGAAATTTTAGAATAAAAAAATTGTTTTGTTTCATAGCTTCGACGATATTTTCCTAATAGAAAACTTCATTTTCCTCTTAAATTATAGTAAAGGGATAGGAAACTTTTTATTCTGATATAAAGTAAGGGGGGATAAAATGTGTTTTGCATCTTCTGAAATTTAGACATTTGAAATAATAAAGTCTAGTAAAAGTTTTTTTTCTTCTTTTTTTGGAAAAAAACTTTGAATCTGTTTTCCAAAAAGAAAATTTTATTTTACTCTTAAATTAAAGTGGGGGAGCGAAGAATATACTTTACTTCTTCTGAAATTCAGACATTCGCAGGAATAAAGTCAAGTAAAATATATTTTTAACTCTTATTTTCGACTTTAAAGCTATTTTCCAAATCGAAAACTTTATTTTCCTCTGAAATTTAATTGAGATGGAAGATAATGTGCACCACCCCTTCTGAAAATTTGACATTCGCTACAATAAAGTAAAATAGAATTGAGAATTTTAGAAAAAGAAACTACTTTTTTTCCAATTTGCTAGCTATTTTCCAAATTGAAGTAGAAACTCTCCCCTCCCCCCCACAAGAAAAATACTTCGGTTTTGTTTCAATTTTTTTCTACATATTACGACTTTTAATTTATTAAAAAAATTTTAATCTAAAACACGAAAGGTGAAGAGGAGCACATCATAAAAAAACAAAACAAGTGTTTAGAAAACTAAAATAAGTACCACTGTTTTGCATCCTGAAAAATGCATCCTACACTGAGACTAATAGATATATTTTAAAGAATCTTTTGACTGTGGGTGGTATGAAGGTGTTAAAACCTTCATACCACCCTCAAAAAATAGCCATCTCCTTTTACACCATGGGAAAATGACCTTTTGCTTCTTTAAATTGCCTTAATCATTTTTATGACCCTGGGCTCTTTTGTGCTTTTATAAAATGTCATATATTTACAGTACCATCTATATGTCCCTTAAGTTGTCTTAAACTAGCAATTATCTAGATGTTCTTAGAAAATAGATGTAAGCTTTTAAGGAATGACTCTTGTTGACATTTACTTAGGTCATTTTGTCAAGAGATTTTTTCTGAGACGAACGTAAAAGGTTCCAGTTAAATTCCAGTTTTTAGCTCATTTAATTGCGTCATTTAAATTAACCATTTTTAATTCAGTTATAAATTTTCTGTTGGCTTTTATTTTATTCAAGTTTTGAAATTAAAATTTAACTTTAATTAAGAATTATTGAAATTACTTGCAATTTCCTTTTTTTTCAAACATAAATCATGATATCAATAATTCCCACTCTTAATAAAAATTTTCTTTGGAAAACAAGAAAACCAAATGTAAATTTATTTATAAGGAGGTAAGTAAATGTTTGCATTAACTCATTTAATACATTTAAATTTTATATTTATATACTGTTCCAATTCTTTTATTAAGAATGGTAACACAAAAATTGCTTTTTTTTATGTTCATATATAAAATTTAATTTGTATAGTAAATACTTAAATTGATAATTTTACTGCTTATTGTGTGCATGGATTTTGTTCCTATTTTATATTTTTCAAATTATTAAGACCTTTAAATTTTTTAAATTGGAACTTCAAATTTTTAGGGTTTTTAACAACGTTGTTTTCATTAAAAAGTGAAATGCAATCTTTATTTTATATAAAAAAAATCATATTTAATTTGATAAAAGAACGCATTTATTTAATAAAAAAGCTATGAATATCAGCTTAGAAATCCGTAGCAATTAAAATTCGTTTCCAAGTCAAACCATTAAAAAGAATTTTTTTTTAATTAGCTTTGACTTTTCTCATTTTTCTTTCATAAAAAAAACTATTACTCTTTGTTATAATTTTGTCGCATATGATTACATGGCGTCATGAATACATAGGCGAAATATTCAAGAACGATTTTCTAGGGACCTGTCCATATTGGAGTAAGGCAACTTTGTTTTTGTTAATTGATGTATATAGAGAAACAATTTCTGAATATTTTTTCAATTAGGACTATAGATCAATTAGGACTATAGATCAATTAAAATGTGGGTACATGTGCCGATAGAAAAAAAAAAGTCTATAATTTCCTTCAGTTTCCATAACGCGATCAAAAACTTTTAGATTTGAAACTAAAAAATAATTTTAATTTTTATAACGGTTTTGTCTTGAAAAGACCTTCCTAACTCCTAACGATATAGTAACCGGATTTAACAGGTTTATAAAATTGGTATTTTATGATTAGCATTATATTTAGAGGAAAAGGAGGCTACTGTGGACATGGGGGACAGGAGTGGACAACATGAATAGCTATTTTCCCCCTAGTCAAGTTCCCTCGGTGAGATGTGGTAAATTGGTAACATTTACGTACAGTGAACCAAAACAGTACCAACCTGAATAACCTTTGATTTAATGATCGGATCTTCACGTTCTAGGACTCCATCTTAATAATTCGATGGTGTGACATCAAATATGCAAATTAATTAGTGCACGATATTTTATTTTAAGTTACGTAATCAGACACAAAAACATACTTTCTCTGAAGAAACATAACTTTTGTTCAACAGATTCGATTTTCTAACCCCCGTAATATAGGAGGTAGCTGTAATCTGGGGAATATAGTCCCAATAGTCGGTGAGCTATCCAAAGTTTGGACCCCCAAATGTTAATTTTATTTTTTTGTATTTCACTACAGATCAAGAGCTTTTTAAGGGAATTGGAAAAATTTTGCACACGATTATAAAATTCTGTTATCTAAAGATAATTCCATGCAAAAAATAACTTTTAGTAAATATTTATTATTTTTCATTTAATAATAGTCTGATTTAATAATAGTCTGTCATTTACGTCACACTAGTGCTGCACAATAGGCTATTGGCGACGGTCTGGGAAACATCCCTTGAGATTTTATCCTTTGTAGAGGGGATAGCACCCCCGCGTCGGTAGCCCGGTGATCTGCACCCGAAGTCGAGCATTTTATCGTGGAACAGTTTAGCGAGGACCAATACCGCACACCCTCGGTCCCTACGCAGACTGACCCAAGTGGTCACCCAACCGCACACTGACCGCAGCCACTGATGCTTGACTTCGGTGATCTGCTAGAACCGTGTCTTAACGATCAGTCCCCTTTGGGACAATAATAGTCTGAAAACTTTTGAATCGAAAGGCATATAGTTTTTTTTTTTTTTTTTTTTTTTTTTTTTTTTTTTTTTTTTTTTTTTTTTTTTTTTTTNTTTATAAGTACGACTTTTTTTAAATTTAATTTCTCAGGATTAGTCTATTTCGCTGAAATTTTGTATTTTGTCATGTTTAAAACTTACAATGTTTTGTAATCCAATTTATATGCGTACAAATAACTTGTTTTCATAAATATATTCACGAACATAATACATAAATAGCTAAAATGACGGTTAGAGATGGAGTACTGAAAGTTTTTGAAAGGGCCCCCGCCAAAAATGCTTGCCCCAGGGCCCCGAGGGGTGAAGTTACGGCACTGCGTGACAGACGCCAAAGTTCTTTCACAATTTTTTTATTTCCTACATATTTTTTGAAACCTTAAAAAACATCCTATATTATCCTACATTACCAAACTTGTCCTATAAATCCTTTAACGGTAATGTCAGTTTGCAAAATTTACAGATTTAATATCATATAACGTGTAAAGAATTTGTAAAATCTTCACTGGCAGTCATAAGACAGCTTGCAAATATGTTGCCCCAAGTGATAATTGAAGATCTGTGATAAAGATGAGTGGAATCTCTATTTTAAAGGAAATTTTCTGACGATGACTCACTAGAAGATTGGAGCTACCCTAGAAATTCATGAAGTGCCTTTGACTACTTTTGGAACAAAATTTTCAAGTTAAAAGATAATCAGAATCTTCCATGATGCAATCTTCTATCTGTTCCTGTCAAAACATCTTATGCACTTCTTCACGGAGAGTTGAAAGAGGTTTCTCTATTAATAAAATAATTGTCCCATCTGAAAATCGAGAATGAGTTTCGATCCCATAAAAAGCATAAGAATTATCAATGAAACTGTAAAAGATTACAGATGATTGCATCGCACATCGCTCAAGAAATGATTAAATTTTATACGAATGCATATGTTGAATACAAATCCCAAAAGACTTTTGAACAAAAAGAAAAGAATAAGCAACAAGTAAAATAAAATGTACCACAAGCAAGACCTGATAAACTTTTCTTCGAACTGTCTTGAGCCTGATAAACAAGATGATGAAAGAGCATCAAACACCAAATCAATGATTGATAAAAGCAACCAACGTTTTATTACTGATATAAAACAAAAATGCATTATTAAAGTAGAAGTAGGTCAAGCTATGATAGGTACTGACTAGAAAAAGTTGGCTAATAGACTAGCTAATAAAATGTTTCCTAAAAAAAAATTTAGAAAGAGATCTAACTGTGTTATTTTCAAGTAAGTAATTTTGTCCAGTAAATAAAAAAAATTAGCTATGTTATTTTAATATTAATAATCTATTATTAGGATCTTTGTAATTTTTTTGATAAAAGTAATGTTTGGAGTAAGTCACTTATTAAGAAAAATTTTTAATCGTTGTATGATTGTGATTTATATTAAGAAAATATTCATAATACAATATATTTTCTGCTGTCCTACATTTTTTCTAAAGAAATCCTATACTTTTTTAAATTGTTACTTCTATCCTTGCATTGAATATCAAAATAAATATGCAACATTTTATTTTTTCCTCATTTCAAATATTTATTAAAACAAAACAAAATGAAGCGATGAGAAATATTAATGAGAAAATAAACATTAAATTAACAAACGTCATTCTATGGCCCTTTCGTTTAACAGTTATTTGACGTAGTTGGCTTGCAAATTCTTGCTTTTCCAACTGGTTTGTATACAATGTAACATATTGCTTTTACAACTTTACATGGCTCCTTGTTGCTACTTTCATCGGTTAAATCTTCATCTTCAAAATCCTGAGTGAAATCATCTATTGTCGATGAGCAACATGAACCATTCTGTTTCTGTGTAGTTTTACCACAACATCGTCTTTTTAGATTTTTCAAAGCTTCACAGCAGCCCCCTTCCTCACTTGAATCCGGTTCTCGAACACCAGGTCTTTGAATGGGTCGTTGCTGACTTGAAATATCTCTGTCTGTAGTAGGTGCGGTCAATGTATGTTGCTCTGGTGTTAAACTAGGTCTGAGGCTTGGCTCTAATAAGGAAGTTTGTCCTGGTAATCTATGCTCTGGTTCTAGGAATGTTTGTTGTCCTGTTGTTAAACTGGGTCTGAAGCTTGGCACAAGTGAAGAAGTTTGTCCTAATGGTCTTTGCCCTGGTTCTTGGAAACTGATAGGTGCACCACCAGGGTTAGGTGTGCCTATGGAGGTAGGTTGACGGTCTGTAAGTGAGGGTATTTGTTGTCCTGGTGCAAGACCATTTGATTGACTTGGTACTTGGAAAGGTGGTTGGTTTAGTCCAGGTCTGAAATATGGTTGTTGGTAACTGGTTGAATAAGCACCATCTGAACTCCCTGAGCCAGTAGGAGCCGTCTGATCTCTTTTAGAATAAATCTGGTCACCATTTTGAGTTTCAGTGGGGTAAGGGGGAAAATATTGTTGACCAAATTGAGTCGATGAATCGGGGGCTCGAATACCATGTTGTGTTCTAAAGGTAGAACTTGGTTGAAATGCCTCATGAATAGTTGAAGGAGGTTGCAACCCATTAATTCTTCCTTGAGATCCCATGGATTGAGTTGGTGGTGATAGTTCAGATAAAGGCTGTTGTATTGGATGATATCCTGATTGTTGTGGTACAGTCGGAGAATGGTATGGGTGTCTAGCACCGTGGGAGGGTTGTAAATTACTTGGTGTTTCATAAAATGAACCAGATTGGGGCTGCATAGTTGGTGTTTGGCTTCCAGAAAAAGGAGAGCGCTGTTGATCAAAAGGAATTGGCCCTAAAGTTAAATCGGTTTGTAAAGAACCAGTAGCCGTTGAGGGGCTTTCATAACTGGTCGCTTGTGGCATATTTGATTGCGGTTGGCTCCTCGTAAGGTGTAAGGGCTGATAAAGACCTTGAGATTGGGAAGGATATCTTATTTCGGACGTTCTTTGATCAAAACTGCCTTGACTTTGATCATGAATATCCTGATCTCTACTCCCAGTTGATCCTTGGTTTCTTGATGGAATTTTCGACAAATATTCTGTACCTGGCAATTGTGAAATTCCAGGTATATTTCTAGATCCCTGTGCTTGTTCATGACTTACTTGTCTTGGTGTGGAGATAGGTACAGATACCGGCACACCAGCTCCTCTATTTAATGTAGATGGTGATGCAATCCCATTGATAGATGGTCTATGTACAGCTCCTGAACTCGGTAGTTGGGAAGTGTGCATAAAATTAGCATTTCTGTCTAAATTTCGATGTAAAATGACTGGACTTGTTTCTGCACTAGGCACTGAACCTTGGTAATCCATTGCAGCATCGAATCCGCCTTGAGCGGTTGCTGCATAAGTTCTTCCACTGTTGTATCCTCCTTGTAATTGCGTTTGAGATTGTCCTGTCGAACTACCTCCTAAAACAGAAGCAGATACCGTCCCTTGAAAATCACTGTTTCCCGTGACCTCTTTTCCAGCAATATCAACTTTCACCTGACTACTGCTTAAACCTCTTGATTGAGACTCTGCACCTGCACTTCCTCCGGTCCTTCCACTCTGCGCTCTAACACTAGTCATGCCCTGAGAGAATCGACCTTGCGCCGTACTGCTTGCTGAACCACTAGGTCTACCAATTTGTACTTGACTTTGAGCTGATCCTACATTTTCTACTGCTGAACTAGAACCAGATAAACCCCCTTGCTTCCCACCTTGTACTTGACTTTGAGTAATGCCTCCAGTGAATCCAGATTGAGCTTGTGCTGAAAATGACCCATTTCCTGCATAACCACCTTGAACCTGGGTCTTTGAGCCAATTCCTCTATATTGCCCAGCAGCAGATGCTTCAGCAGCTGTTCCTTCAGCACCTGTTTGAATCTGTGTTTGCGATGAAGCAGAATCACCTCCTCTTTGAACTTGAGCATTTCTGTTTGAAAGAGCTGTCCTAACTGGCTCTGCTACAGGACCAGTTCTAAGGTCACTTTGTCCAATTCTTGACCCATCTGAAGCACCCCTTGACGTGAAATCACGAACATTATAACTAGAAGTATCGGGAATTTGTGGTCTCGAATACTGTCCTGGCTCTCCATTTCCTGAAACAGAGAAAGGATGAGAAGGTAAACTTCCAGGCGCAGTCATTCCTCCCTGTAATGTATCTCTTGGTGTGTCACGTGGTTGACCTTGAACAGAATCCAATGCTCTTAAATTTGTTGGAGTGCCTGCACTGATTCCTGGAACATTTCTTGATGATGTTTGTTGATCAACTCCAGCACCGAGTATTTGCCGTTGATCAGTTGAAACACGACTGTCAGGGTATCTAGGTTGAGAAATTTGCATTCCTGGAATTCCATATCCTTGAGCTAATAATCCATCTTCCTCAGTACCGGAATGTATTGAATCGGTTTGGAGAGATCCACCGTTTAGCGCTTTTGGCATATATTGTCCAGATATTGCACCTGAGTTTTGTCGATCTTGATATCCTGGTGCAAAATGTGCTGGCTGATATCCCGAATGGGGAGACTGTGGTAAGGAATCAGGCTGATACGCAGTTAAAGTCGAACCGGGTTGGTAACCTGATATGACTGGGCGAGCTGCTGTTATTGATGTTCCCGGAAACGAGCTCGGGTAATATCCAGGAAAAGCCGGTTGACCTATTCCTGTCGGTAATCCTGATACAGAGCTTGGCTGATATCCTCTAGCAGATTGATATCCTGTTAATGTAGTATCAGGCAAAACTCCAGGTGGGTGTAGAATCCTTGGGTGACTAGGCGTCCCGGATTGGTACCCTGTGAAAGGAGGTTGATACTGTATTCCAGGCTGAATTTGCGAATCCCCCCCTGGCGTGATAGTTTTAATTTGATTCAGTGGACTTGAACTACCTAAACCAGTATGGGAACGCATCAACTGTCCAGGAATTCCCCCCTGCTGTTGCATATCAGATACACCTGGGACAATGGGATATGTAGATTCAGTTTTAAGGGAAGGACGTCCATTTGTATCAGGTGACAAACTTCTTTGATCCGCTCTAGATATTGGAGGACTTAAATAAGAGCTTCCTGGCATTCCTCCTGGTTGAAAACTCTCTGGAGATTTGGAGATATCATTAAAACCAGGATAAGATCCTTGTAAGGAACCTGGAGAAGATGCACTGGGATATCTTTGCAAACCTGAACCAACTAGACTAGGCTTTTGTTCAGATAAATGATATGGCATGCCTCTAGTTCCCCCGTATTGTCCACTACTACTAATACCACCACGATAAGCATTTCCGGCCTTGAGTCCAAAAGGCAAGTTTAGTTGATATCCACTTTCTTGTGCTGTTTGTAAGGAAAATTGTCCTGAATTGTCACTGCCGGAGTTTACACTTCTACTCCTACCTGTGTTATCACCCATTGATATAAAGTTTTGATTTTGTGAGGGGTTAGTGAATGTATTTCTTCCATTCATGGCTGATGCATGTGGTAAATTTCCTGTTCCCCTCAACGGATATGTTTGTGAACTTTGAGATCTTTCCTAAAATAAAAGAAATAAAATTATTATTTTGTAAAACAATCAAAAAATAAAACTATAATTGTATCATGTTTCATAATTAAAAATGTATATAGGTATACATTTTTAATCATGAAACATGATACAATTATATGTATCACTTGTTAAATATTTCTGTTGAAATATAAATTCTGTTTCCTTCAAATCCTGTATATCAGACACGATTATTAGAAATAATTACGAATAATTATTACATAGGAGTCAATTGCAGATAATATGTTAACTATTATATAGTTTGTCTATAGAAAGAACTATCCGCTTTGCACCTTTTAACCTATCGTATCCGCTTTGCACAGTGCAGTAACTACTAAAAAGTCTTTTTTTTTAATGGATATGAACTTTAGACCAACATATGAGGAACAGCCGCATTTGATAAAAATATTTACATGTTTAAACTACAGTAATGTAAATTCTAAAATCAGAAAAATTGAATGTGGTTTAAAAAGTTCTAAAACGTAAAAATTTAAACCAACTTATTTCAATTTTTATTTTTCAGAAATTATTCAAATAGTTTTATTTGTAATTTATTGCTTGATATTTAATGTGATATAGTTTAAGTAAATTTAAAATGCAGGATGATTATAAAATTACATCGCCAGCTTATGACCCTATGGAGAGCATACCGTTTGAGCGAACGGAATAAAATTTTTGTACATTTTAAGACAAATGCTTTAAATTTTTTTCTGATAAAATTACCGTTCCAAATAACGTTTTAATCAAAAAGATAAATGCTGCCATTTGAATATTTCGAACTTTCGTCTTTGTAACGTTAACCGTCAGAGCTATGCAATCACTTTTAAAACCATTCTTGAACGCATAGATCACCTTTGTGAAAATTTTTATTTCGTTCTCTTAAACGGACTTTCATATATAGGACATATGTCCAGAAGGTCATATGTCGACAAAGTTATTTATGATCATTGATCACCCTGTATTTTCTTACCTTATAATTCTAATTTTTTATCATTAAAGTTAAAAAATATTACATAATTAATGAAAGTTAATTTTTGCGAGAGATTATCTTTGAGTTAGGCAACGCGATTAGCTCAATTTGGAAACAACGTGATTAACTTAATAGATAGAAAAGTAAAAATAAATAAATGAAAAATCTATCAAAGTAAATATCATGCAAAAAGTGAAAATAGTCGGAGGCCCGAATCTTCAAACTAAACTATTGGGATCATTTTTAAAATATATTAAGTTAAAAACAGTGATAAAATTTTTAAAATTAAATTCCTGTTCCTCGTTGAAACTTAGAAAGATACCTCAGATGGATAAATTTTTTTTAAACTGACAAAACTGTTATTTTGTATCATTTTTTATTAGTTTTTACCTGATACTGAGTCATTGTTTGATCTTTCTTTAAGTTTCCATCTTTATCAATAGTACCAGTGATACGAGTGTCATGACCATAATGAGCGTAATTATTGCTCTGATGTCCATAATGACCATATGAATGATGAGTAAATTTGCTTTTGTCATCATTGACAGCTGTCTGCCTCTTCTTCCGTCCTGTGAAAAAAATAACTCAATTATCTACTGAGAATGGCGCGCCTCTACCATGTAAATAGAAATTTCCTCTCCCAATTTATATATTACCATACTATAGCTCGTTACTTAGCAACTATGCAAAAAATAGAGTATCGACAGGGAGAAAATAATTTTATCAAGCTCATCTAGTCTTAAAGTAACTGAACCAATGCCAATACTAAAGTCTTAAACCTTGTTATTCATGCAAGTTTCGAAAATTGAAAGAACATAATTGAAAGATTTAAAATGTTTAATCTTTTGCTTACGGGTGGCATTACAAGTAGACTAGAATGACAGGCTTCACCAGCGGTCTAGGCATGGATATTCTTTCATTCTCTGTACTATCTGTCCTTACTATGAGAGCAACGTTGGCCCACTTAATATGATGCCCCTTAAAGAGCAGCCGGCAAATCTTCCCCTTTACGCCTGAATTGACTAAAGTCAACCCAGGTGGGTATTGAAGGAAAAAATATATGTCATAATAATAAGTCTATAATTTAATCTGTATATATCATTGGAGTAGTAACGCGACACTTTAGGACGCCATTAAATTTTTACGCAATTACCTTATCTCTTATCAAAGTTATACTCGCTTATCACTCTATCACTTCAAAGTAAATGAGTAGTTAATATTTGAATTTTTCTCCTTCAAATTATCTACACAAAGTCTTACATTTTACTCTAACTTTATAATTTACGTTATATTTCCATGCCTTATAAATACCATTCAAATGTTACACGATTTATAAGTCAATGTTGTACAATTTTAATTCCGTAACAAATTTCGATGTATAACATTTTATTCAAAAACAAAAGTTCAATATTCAAAATTTTAAACAAAAACTGTATTTATATGAAGTCTGCTAATAAAATTGCCTGTCTTACTTAATGGAATTCCATCACTGGATACCAATGACAATGAACTTCCATTGCAAAACCGAGCTATCCGCTTTCCGAACTTCTCAATAAAAGTTTTATCATCGATCTCTTTCAAAATATAAAATGTGGGGATGTATGATCCTTTCACAATGCCATTCTGAAATAAAAACAAGAAATATGTTTGTTAGAATATCGCTCTTCACCATGAGAGTTACAAGCCAATTTGCAATGACATCGAGTAGAGAAAAAAAAATACTATTCGAGATTATGAATAGGAACATAACCTTTGGCTGTGCTTGTTCATATTGATTATAAGTAAAACTCCAGAACTGTTTCTTTCCTACAGGTTTTACATTTTAACTTTGTATGTCAATAAGCATTTGTCCTCTTTTGAATAGTATTACGTAAAAAAAAAAAGACATATTCTATGTAATATATTGCTTTGACAACGAAATTTGCACAAAATAGGGACATAGAATTTTTCAACTGAGTCAAAAATAAAAAATAATAAAATTTTTATATCGATCATAATATATTACTTTATCACCGTCGTTAAACAGCCGACCCAATTCTTAGGCTTACGACTTCTAACGTTCAACTACGTAGTCTTGTAATTTTGAACCCAATCCAGAAGACAAGGAACTGCTGAATCAAGTATTGAGAGAAATTCGCCTTCATGGAGGACTTTTTGATGGAACTAACTCGCATTTGCGTTAGATGGAAAGGAAGACCACGATGTCGATAACTAGGATAACTAGAAATACCGTAAAATAGGTTGTTGTTGTCGTATGCCTGTTAAAGCAGAGGGTTGCGATTGTTCTTGTTTTCCAGTGGCGCCATCTATGAATTCGACTTTTGCCGCACCTGTACGTCACACCCGTTTATAGGGCGGACNTGCAACCCGACAGATTTAACGTGCATCAGTCACCATTTTACTACACGGGGAGTCTTCGGCCGGTGGGGTTCGAACGCACGAACTCTCAGACATGAACCCCGTTAAATAAGTAATTTACAGGTAAACACCATTTTAAATTTTTTGCTGATCATAGCCAAAGACATTTGAATTTCCTTGGTTTATTAATTATAATATCATGTTATTTTTTCTGTTCAATGAGAGTCTACAAAACAATTATCTTCAAGGTAAGGTGACAGTTATCTTCGTTATAATTAAATGTTGATATTGGTAAATTCATATAAATTCTTAAAATGGTTGGGGAGAGAGGGCTAGTGTGGACAAGGAACTAGAGAAGACAAATGGAATATTTCTATTATTTCCCCGTAAATTTTCCCTGTAAATTTTGTGCAGAATGTCAAGACTATAATATATTTACATATGCAATAACAAACAAAAAAATAATAGATTGTTGATTAGTAAATTAAAAAACAAGGTTTTATGGAGGAAAAATATTGTTTTAATTAAAGACAAGGTTTTTATGGTGGAAAAGTAATTTTAATTAAAAAATAAGGTTTTTATGGTGGAAAAGTAACTTCTTAATTAAAAAACGAAGTTTTTATGGTAGAAAATTAATTTCTTAATTTAAAAAGAAAACAAGGTTTTTACGATGAAAGGGTAAATTTTTAATTTTTACTTTAGTTTAATATTTTGTTATGAATTGAATGTGTTTTTTACACATTTAATCAGTTACTTTCGATTTGCCTTTTTTAATGAACTAATAATGAGTTTCAACAAACTAATACTTCACGAAGCTTCTGAGGACACATAGGTCTGGGGCTACTGTGGGCATGTCATAATCTTTTAATGGTAGTGATTACGTTAGTATTGTATTAGTGGCTTCATAAGTACGTTAATACAAGCTGAAATTACGTTTTTTGAAGAAACTATTACTATAATGTTTAAAGGTTTGGTAGAGCGTACAGATATATTCTCACACAGATATATTAAATAATAGACCTCTGCCTCATTTTCGTTACAACTATTAAAGTTTTTTAAGAACATATTTACGGAGGCGATGGCCTAAATTTGCATATTTTACCACGGTGATGTTGTAAATTCCTTCAATATTTAAAGTTCTAATTTAATAACAGTCAATGTATATGAATGTTTATTCAATTTTTCCATCTCTTAAAAACTTCACCACTTTATTATCAGATCTTATGGAATTGTTTCAAATGTTTATTCATCGTGATGGTCAAATCGTTGTAAATTAATTTTATTGATAAAAAATGAAATTGTTGAGAGTAAAATTTACTGCCCCTTGAAACATTGAAGAAAAGCTCTCTCTAAAACGGAAGAGTTTGAAATGTATGCCTTTATTGGTCTTTAACATAACATAATTATAAAGATTTTATGACCATTTTCTCAAAACCACATTTTTAGACTAAATTTAGTTCCATTTAGATTTTACTTGCTTTTTATTATTAGTAACAATAGATTAAATAATAAGCATTACGACGTGCCCTCGCTAAACCTATAACATAGTGCTAGTGGGATCAAAAAGAATTTTTTTTTAAAAAAAATTATCAAAGCAAAAATATATATATACATTTAAATTAGCTTATCTATAACTCAAAATGAAAAAATCGTTCAAATTTTAATTGAAAAAAAATGTGCCCAAAATATTAACCAGTATTCTTTTTTGGAAAATTTGAAGAAAATATCCATACTAAACCGTAAAAAATTTTGTATCAAATTACGATATAAAGTACCGCCGATATAAAGTATCATCTGTGGAATCCACTTCACAGTAAATTCCATTTTTATCGTAAAATATTATACCGTAATTTTTACAAAAATGTTTATTTAAATAGAGTGATTCAGTGATCTTATGGTAGTTATTATTGTAAAAATCATGATACATCAGATTTTTTGTTCCTTAACATATTTCTGTGAAAATTGAGTTTACGATAAAAAGTATCGGCCCTCTGATTGCTGGTACTTTTAACCGTAATTTGATCCGGATTTTTTTTACAGTGTTGCCCCCTCTCCTCCATGTGCTGTAATTTCATAGAACGCAACGTATCGGTTAATGCAATTTTAAAAAGACATAAATGTTAACATAAATGATTTTTTTTATTGTATTAAAGTATTAACAAAACTTGATGCTATACATTATTTTAGGCATGTCACAAAAGTAAAGTTTAAGATTTTATATAATTTTATATTATACTGACATTTAATAGCCGTAACTTTTTCCTGTCATCTTCCATCGTCTCGCCCGTAGCACTTGAAATAAAACATTGGCTTCCATTTGAGTCCTTAAAAGCTTTCTTTTCCTGGAAAGAATTTAGTTCTTAATAAACGTAAGCGTTGGAGTCACAAAAATTAAATGGGTTTCTCATTTAAAAAAAGAAAAGATTTAACACATAATAAGAATATGAAACAAAAACATCTTTTAAAAAATGCAGTTTTAATTTAAAAGTATAGCTTTAAAAAATGTTATAAAATCTGTTTATATCCTGATGTTACATTAGTGCAATAAGATTTACTTGCTTAAAACAATACAGTTCAGTAAAATCTTAAAATCAAGCTCCATTATTTGCAGCATGTCCACTTAACACTGAAGATTAAATGTAACTTGACCCTTTGCGGTTGCGTTAATTTTATATGTAGATGTTTTCCAAGACGGAATTCATTTTTGTTGGACGAATTTAATATGCAGAGTAATTTTAAAATACTTTTGCAATGGAATGCAAAACACAACTAGTAAAATATTATTTTGAATTTTATATATCTCCAAATTCTATCGACTTAAAAGATTTTAAGTAACAAAAAAACGCACTTAACATTCATTTGTTTTTTTTTATTTAATTAGGATCGAAAATTTTTTAGATAATAGGGTATGGAAATTTTTACTTCATTTAAAACAGTGTCACTTTAATCGGTAAAAAAAACGAAATTTGAATGAAATTGGTTCTTGACAAATGAAAGTTTAAAAACAGATTTTTCAAAATTTAATAACACGCAAACTATTCGACCAATTTCTCTCAAATTTTGAATTTCGTCATTTAAAAATGTATAGCTTAAAATAGTGAGAAAAATTTTTTTTATTTGTTTCAATCCTTATAAAATTTTTAAAAAAAAGTTATTATTAAATTTCATATTTTTTTTTTTTTTTTTTTTTTTTTTTTTTTTTGCTTGGAATTAACTTTGGACAAACGAACTTTATAATTGAGTGCAAAATTTTTAATTCCCGAGATTAAGCGAAATGCTATAAAAGGGAAATTAACAATCATGTGATTCGACCGCTCTGCCAGCTAAACTAATGGGGACCGACCATAAGGCTGCGTCCTATATTTTGATAGCCAAAAAACGAAATCCGTCGAGAAAAAGATATGTTTATAGGGGTAGGGGAATAGATTTTCGAGTGTCTGTGATTCGGGAAACTAATTAATACCTAGCATTAATAAATTAGCATATTTGCAGTCACTCTATTTTTATTTTATATTTCATTTTATAACCGTCGTTGAACAGCCGACCCAATTTTGGGTTTACGTCTACTAATGTTCAACTTCGTAACCTTATAAAATTTTTGCCTTAGTGGAGGATTTCTTGATAGAACTAACCCTCATTTGCGTTACATGGAGAAGAAAAACTCGAAATCCTCCCATGGTTAGCCTGACGATAAAGGGACTCTAACCCATGATCCGTCTACCACTGAGGATATTTTATGTCAGCACTGTGGTCGGTGCACGCCGGATGCAAAATCCGTATCGACCAGCCATCGCTGGAATTAACCCGAGTGACCTCATTGGAAGGCGAACGCTCTATCCCCTGAGCCACCACGGTTCGTAGTTTCTCTATTTTATTTTGTTTTATATTCCTTGAACAGCCGACCCAATTTTTGGGTTTACGACTACTAATGTTTAACTCCGTAGCTTGTAATTTTGAAGCAATCCAGAAGACAAGGAAACTCCTGGATCAGTACCCCCTGAGGTATTGATTTGTTATGGGAACACGGAGGACTTTGCGACTCGACAGATTTAACGTGCATCAGTCCTCATTTAATACATGGGTAGTCTTCGGCCGGCGGGGATCGAACCCACGAACTCTTGAACATGGGACCAGTGTCCTACCGACCAGGCAATCCCGGCCCTGTAGTTTCTCTATTGAACAATTAAGACTGGTACTTTTTTCGTGAAAAATTGATCATTAAGAAAGTTATTTAGGAAAATATCTTTTTTTTTTTTTCATTTTGCGCACTGTACACACAGGCTTGCCTTAGCTTCTTAGTAAGATAAATTGCACAGAGTTGTGTTTTTCCTGCTGCCTTATTTATCAGTTATTGCTCTAGTAGATATAAATTAATAATTTTTTTACAATTGAAAAAACTAAGGAATTACTTTTTTACATCGCATATGCTTCAAATTAGAAATATATTTGAATGTTAAAAATGATTAACTAATTAATAATTTATATACACGTGGAATGAAGTAATGGCAATGTTTATATATCAGTCACGTTATTACTTCGACTTAAAATGCTTCAAATAGTTTAATATTACGGTTATTTAGCATTCTTAATCTATATTTACTTTATTATCATTCAATTTCATGCATGGAAAATACATATCGTGTATAATATTTTCATTGGAGAAACATTGTACTATACTTTTTCGTAGCATAAAGAAATTTTAAATATGAGTTGTAATGCAAAATTAGTTTACTTACTTCAATGAAATCATGAAGTGATATTGAAATCCATGAATTTTTGGAGTCCAAGATTTGAATAAGCTCGGTCTGCAATGCAACGATTGAATTTTTGTCATTAATTTAAAAAAATATTCAATAATAAGTTTAAAACAATGGAAAGACGATGAAATCTAAAAATTTATTGAAGCAATTGTACATAACTAATGTACTCATTACAGAATTACCAAATATTATGATTTAAACAATGTTTTAAGCAATTATTCAATTATAAGGTTTAAACAATGTTAGAATATAATCCATGAATTTTTGGTTCTCAAAAATAGAATAAACTTGCTCTGCAAATACGCGATAACAAAGCAAGGGATGAATGTTTTTCAAATATTATAATTTAAGCAGCTATCCAATAATATGATTGAGAGAAATCTTTAATTTAATTTAAACAATTGTGTAATATAATTTGCACAATCACTTATTATCCAAAATTCTGATTTTTAACAGTGGTTTTAGCAAATATCCGACAATTTTATTTAAACCAGTGTTTCTCAATCCGATTTATTAGAAAGATCCGTAAAATATTTCAGTGTTTGATCGTGGGCCGGTAAGATAAGTAATTTTGACTATTGGCATAGTTTTACTAATATAAAATTGGGGCTCTTTAACAATTTTTTAACAATAGTTTTTTCCTGGTCATTCATATAATTTCTAAAACAAAAAATATTTTGCTGCGGTCAGGTGGTTGAGAAATAATGATTGAAACAATAATAGAAAAAAACTACAATTGAAACTTTTGATATTAAATTTTAGAAGTGATACTAATATAAATTAAAATTTTACCAGAAAATTTCTGTATGAAACGATTACTTATTGACGTATCATCATTGTTGACAAAACAACGTTTTTCATATTTCGATATTTTTGCAATATCTGCAGTTGAAAGTGCTAAACAAACATAAAACATTTGTTCTATGAGAGTATTCCAAAAATTATGAAAAAATGTAGAGTAAAAAAATATTCGCCCGTTTTATTTATTTATTTAATTATTTATAATTTTAGTTATTCATTAATTTTAGTTATTTATTAATTTTAGTTAAAATCTATAGCAAGCACAATATCTCAAATGATTAAACTGGCTCAAACATAATGTATTGAACAATGGGTTAATTGTAATCAAATATAATTATTAAATATAATGTAAACTGTAATTATTACTCCTTTCCTTGGAGCAAATGTGCAGCATTTTTATTTTTTGTCTCATAATACAGCAATTTTAGATTTTATCTCATAATAGAGCAATTTTGAGATTTTACCTCACCCTAGCCTTAATTTCACAAACAATTTCTTTTTTAATTTTTCGAAAGAATTTAAATAATTTTAATAATCGATAAATTTTGAAGAAAATTATCAAAAGATGGCAGTAGTGCTTCAGTTTTTCTTCAAATCTTGAGAAAAACAAAATCATATCTTAAATCAGTGAAGTACTTGAAGAAATATAAATTAAGATAACGAAGATTATATAAAACGATTATAGCATTTATATTTCAAAATGGAAAAGAAAACAGAAAGGCAATCCTGATTAGATAACATATCTCCCCTGTTCGAGTACATTAATCTTTGAGTAAAAATTATGGTCGAAAGTTAGGATAAACGTCTGAACAATATGTGCGTTTGAAACCTTAGGACTCAACATTTCATCATACGATAACAAATCAAAACAACACAATCTAAGTACTCGTATTAGGCATTAGAAATTTCTTCCTGACGACAATTAATGAACTTCGTTTACGTAAATATCGATTATGCAAACGATTTTGAAACTTTTAAGATAATTTTTTATCAAATTGCGATTTGTCTTAACTGTTATCTTATCCTGTCAATATCTTCCTACTGTTGAATTGAGAGAATTTAAACAAGCTCAAAATTTTTACAATTAAATACATTACTAAACATTTTTTATGCCATAATTTGCTCAAAACAAAATTTTATTTTAATTTAGAAAACGATTTCTAACAATTTACTCTTTAAATATACGTTGCCTCAGAAATTTATTTTAATAGGAATTAGGCCTTAGGGGATGCTTTTTGAGTAAGGAAATATTATGTAGCATTAGTAGTTTTAAGTTATACTAAATTTGAAATTTAGTTTTAACATATTTTCACACAGAAAATGTGAATTCTGAATTTATGGGTGGGAGAAAGAATAAACTTAAGGCTAGGACAGCTTTTCAGTTAGATTGTTTGTTAAAAATGGTTTTTTCCCCAAAATATTTTTGGTTAACTACATATATCATTCAAGAACAATATTTTAAAAACTTTGTTTTTGAATGTTTGGTAAGCAGAAAACATACCCCTTTATTTAGTAAGACAAGAAAAAGAAAATTTCAACTTGGTTATTAGGTCTCAGTTTTTGAAGGAAAAAGAGATTCCTTATTTGTCAATTTTTATTCCTTACAAGAATAATTTTATTCAGTGGTAATAAAATAAAATTGAAAAATAAATTGCAGGCTGAAATATCGTTAAATTTAACAAGAGCTTAGAAACACTCTTATTGCTTTATCTTGCATTTATGCCTTTTATTATTTATCTTGTTAGCTATCTTACATTTATGCTTATTATTTACGCTTGATGTATTTAAATGCTGTGATGATTGAAATCATTCTAAATTAAATACAAAAATCTAAGAATGAAAAAAAAAGCTAAAGTTTTGATATCACTTAAAATTTTTTTAAATAAAATCTACCCGAAAATTCGAAAGAATTGGCAGCTTTAGGAGTTAAAATTTTTGAAGTAAACCATTTTTTAAAGGTAGAACTTTGATCATTCTAAATTAATTTTATGAATCTATAAATGAAATAGTTTTGATATCACTTTAAAATTAAAAAAATCTTCTCGAAAATCCGTAAGAAATGGCAATTACGGGATTTAAAATTTGTCGTTTTCGTAGGTTTTACGGTTAGAACGGAAAAAAAATGAATAATTATTATCAAGATAAAAAATGATGTCGCCACAAATTTGGTGTACCTGATTGTCCGACATATGCATGATTTTTAGTATGTCTCTAAACTAAATATTTGAAGTTACCAACTTGTTTAAATAATCAATTGCAAATAGAGAAATCCAAAATATCATATATAGTAAAAAAAAATCTCCTTAATCTGCATTGTTTTTTAAAATAAGTAGGATCACAGATTTACCTGGTTTTTGGCATCTAACTCTACTTTTACTGGGACAATCTTTCTTCCTTCAAAGTAACGTATGATGAAAGTCTAAAAAAAAAATTAAATAAATATTAAATAAGGAGAAAAATAAGTCTATAAAATTTTGTAATCACATGCTTAAATAAGCTTAAAATTATATGTCAACACCATTTATTGAAAAAAAATTCAATCTAGGTTTCATAACTTTGATTGAATTACGAAGTTTATTCCCTAAGAAAGCAACTCTCATTTAAAATCTACTCTTTAATCGTCGTTAATTATTATTTCAACTATTAGTTATGTTTCATTATTTTATATAATTTTAATTATTATTTGAAGGTAAATGTACAGTGCGAAAAAAATAAATAAATAAAAAACAAACCACCCTGAATAACTTTTGATCTTATGATCAGATATTAACTTTCTATGACTCAATATGGTCTCAATAGTTGGGTCAAGAGAGCGATCTAAAGTTTGGAGCCCTTAATTTTAATTTTATTTTTTTAGCTCTCCTGATTTAAATATTGGGATCATATTTCCAAAATTACGACTACACCCTAGATTTTGAGGTTCATCAATTCGAATCCATAGAAAAAAGGTATGTTAATTAAAAGAAAGTACGTTTTTGTGTATGATTTTGTAACTTAAAATATCGTCTGCACAAATTAATTAGCATACTTGGAGTCCCCCCTTGAATCATTGAGATTGAGTCCTAGAACGTAACGATCCGATCATAACATCAAAAGTTATTCAGGGTGGTCCATTTATTTTCTTTGCGTACTGTACAACATTTATTTTTACACATCCATTTCGGGATGATATTTATTATTTATAACATAAGCCATTAAAATCATGTTTTGAATAGATATGAAGTCACTAAGAATCAGTACTCACAAGTTTTTTGCACTTAATGTGGAGTACAGCTTTTTATTTTAAATGATGTCCAAAAATGTGTCAAAAATATAAATTATGGTCCATTTGCAACATCTTTCAACTCTACTTGTTATTCCAAAAGTGCCGTGACACGCACTACTTTTGGGAAAATCCAAACATCTTACACTGAGGAAAAGAGAATGATCAAAACTATCAGAATATGATAAAGTTTATCGGGTACTTACTTATATTCCCGTCGACGATTTTCGCCAACACTGCGCTTAAGTCATTTTGGTATTTTTCAAATTTATTTTTACATGGTTATTGATCATAAAGAAATAATTAAAATACAATTATAAGTAAATGCATGGAGAAACTAAGAAAATATTTAAATTTAAACCAAATTTATTGTAAAATTTGGCAAAAATGGTCAACGGGACAGTATCTAAGCACCGTTTACTGTGTTTCTGACCCTCTATGGGAACACCAAAAAGCTCGATAATTTCTGCCAAAATGGCTTTGGAAATGATTTTGGTAAAATTAACAATAAAATATGGTTCTATAATATATGAAAATTTGGTAATTTTATGAGGATACCTTAGAACATAGCATAAAAATCATTCATTCGGTTAAATTCACTTTTCAGTTTTATATTTTTTACTAAATGTGTGGTAAGAAAAATTATAATTTTGAAATCCATAGTTTCCTGTAAAACGTTACCATATGAACGAAAATAGGACCATATAAATGGCAAAATAATGTAGATTTTGGTTTTATAAATTAGAATTATGGTTATTTTTACCAGAAATGTTATTACCAAGCAATATGGTAGTTTTACCAGAATTTTTTTTTTCTCCGTATAGGTTAGGTAAAAATAATTATTTCTAGTCTTTGGAGGTTGTTAACATTTTCTCTATATTTGATACATCTACGGAATACATTTTAAAAAATCGAAAAAATGAACAGAGTTTTGAAAATTGATCTGTAAAAGTCTATTCAAAAAGTTTTTTTCCTATTAGGATTTAAAAGAGAAAAGCGATAACTGTCTTCAATTGTGTGCAAAGATAAAAATGTGAACAATGTTTAGTACAATCACGATAATAATGCAATGAAGTGTAGTATATTGTTCAAACATTTTTGTAATCAATCATCATCATGGTTGGTCAAACAACCCAATGAGAGCCAATGCCTTCCTCTGAAGATTTCTCCATAACGATTTCCGATTTTTATTTGATCTCCATTTTTTTTCATTAATTACAGGAAAATCAGACTCCACCGAATCAGTTCGTTTCAACAGAATATTTTTTCAAGTTAATGGGTCATCGGACATTAATTGTTATATTAAAAAAAGATTATTTTCAAAGTTTCATGTATTTATGCAGCTGGTAACATGGTAAACAATAGTTTTGAAAATAACTCTTCACTTCATAATCTATCGATATAAATTTTGTGATAAAAATTATAAATGAGGTTTATCTATTGTCAATACATTGGTCATTTTCATTTACACCTGAAAAAACAGTCAAAGAGCATAATTTTTGTAACTGGGCGGGGCTACCCGACACATTTTGAAAAGAGCTGAAAAACATGTTTTTTTAAATTTCCATTTTTTTAAGTTTAACTATTCTTTTTTTGGTTTATTCTTTTTGCAATATTTAATTAGATGATAAAACAATAGAAACATACAAAAATATTGATTATTACTCAATATTATACAGAAATATAAGCAATACTCCTTAAGTAGGCGAGGCTACCCGACTCTCCCCTATATTGTTTTCTCTGAATTTATGACTAAGCCCATTTGTCTGGAAGCACCTCAAGATCAAGAAATACCTCTTTCAGGGCAATTTTTGTAATACATGGTGGAAATATTTTTTCATACATTTTTATCGCGATTCTTTTAATCATGTTAAGTAAGAACTAAATAGAACACTTACGACATTACGTAACAGTATAATTATCGTTGTTAAGTAATAATAAGCTCACGATGAAAAACGTTTATCAGCATGCTGTGTCACATTAGGTGTGGAGAAATATTCCATTTTATTTTTATCTTGTCAGCCTTGAATTAATTTGAAACTTGTACTGATGCTGCTATCACTCTCCAAGGTTATTTTTGTGATCAGTATGCCTTTCAACATACATTCCATTCAACTGATCGTCTAACAAAAATAACTTGTTTTCTTTTAACATTGATCAGCATGTTATGATGTACGTTTAAAGATAGTTCATAAACGATATTTTACAGCATTATGTATTGCCAGCGTGCATTCAATTACATGTAAGGACATGTTGCGAAAACTACACAGTTACGATAGTAATATGCAGGCTGTTAAAATTTTTAGCCATAAAATAAAATTTTAAAAATTTACGTTTTTCAAGTGGAATAAAAAAAAGTCATAACATTCTGTTTTCAAATGTCTACAAAAATGAAGGTTGCGTAATTTAACGATGCACATTTATTTTTAATGAAAAAGTGATGAGAATAAAAACTGGGGCATAATCATCTTTGCGTGTACTGAATTTCATTCCTTTGCTTAAAAAATGAATCCGTAAATCTTGGATACGCAATGCAATAAAAATATTCAGTTTTGATTCAATACAAAGTCAAAAACAGTCGAAATGCAGAGGAGGGGGAAAAATTTGTTTAGTTTATTTATTTATTTATTTTTTTATATTAAAAATCTAAAAAAAATTGACATTTTTGTTAAATAAAAAATATTGTTATTATATTTATCTTTAACATTAAAATTCGATAGATAAATGGGGAATATAGTTTTGTGTGCTATTTTTAGTTAATTTTTCATGTAGTCATTAGATTGAAAACCACCTAGTAAACAATCCTATATCAATTAAATCAATTAGTCCGAAAACCAGTCAGCTTACTTTTTTTCAAAATTGGCATTTTTGCATTTTTAAGTTTAGCTTACGTAAATATATAGTTAGTATATAAAAAATTCATGTTTTTTATTTTATTTTATAACCGTCGTTGAACAGCCGACCCAATTTTGGGTTTACAACTACTGATGTCCAACTCCCTAGCCTTGTAATTTTGAACCAATCCAGAAGACAAGAAAACTCCTGAATCAGTACCCCCAGAGGTATTGATTTGTTATGGGAACATGGAGGACTTTGTGACTCGACAGATTTAACGTGCATCAGTCACCATTTACTACACGGGGAGTCTTCGTCCGGCAGGGATCGAACCCACGACCTCTTGGACATGGGCCCAGTGCCCTACCAACCAGGCTATCTCGGCTCCCTACTTATTTAAATTTTGTGCTGTACAAATTAGCTCGAAAACTTGTTTTATCCTGGAGATGTCCTTTTCTCGGAAATAAATCTCCAGTTGGCTGCCGTTGTTGATTATGAAATTGTTCGGATAAACTAACAATTAATTATTTAGTTTAGGTTTGTTATTTTGTTAATGTTTTTGTCACACAATAAGTGTCTATTCAGCGGGTAGTTCTGTGTTGATGGTATATTTAAAAAGAAAATAAAGAGGGATAAAAGTAACTCTAAACTGCAAAGGAAATGACTGCAATTAATATGATATTGATTTCGAAAGCTGGTGGTCAGGAGGCCAGGGCATTATAAAAAAAAGAATGCGAAAAAATTATCAAAATGCTCCTCTGGAAAAGCAAGAAAGGCGAAACAACAGCTTTAGGTGTAACATTATCGCAATTTTACTTATCAAAACACAACACCTGGTGAGGTTAATATTTACTCTGTACAAAAAACAGTACTCTAAAAGTAGCACCACAAAAAGTTAAGAAAACACATTTTGGAAAAGTTGCCATAAACTACAAAAAATTGCAGACATCACAAATGGTTTTACAATATAAACCAAATGAGTTTTTCTCTTTCTAAGAAAAAATTTGTAAGTGGCTTAGAACAGATAGTCATGATGTAAAAGATTTCTTAACCTACACAAATATCCATGACTAATGTAGTATAAGACTAAACTATAATTTTTATTTCATTTCTTAATGTCAAATTATTAATATTTTCTCTTGTTAAAAATAATGTATAGTATTCGTCTTAAAGTTTTGTCCGAAAACCGATCATATCCAAGCTCTAATTATTTTTCAAATTAAAAAATTAAATGATTTATCGAACATTTGCAATAGAATATTTTGTAATCAGCCGTAATAACAAAAAATAAAAAAAGCTTTATTTATCAAACTGATACTTAA